CCACTTTGCCGGGAGCAGGGGCTGGTGCCAGGGCAGAGCAGAAAGCTGACAGGGTACCTTGGAATACAGCTGATTGGATTTTATCTCGTTGGAGATAGTATTTTAGAACAGAAGAACATTAGGATAAATATCGTGTTTGTGGAGAGGACCATGGCAGCATTTGTAAAATGAACAAAAAAAGGAGAGAGAGGAAGTAGAAAGAATCAAGTACGATGAGGGTCTAAACCTCAGGTTGACAGCAAGAAGGGACAAGAGGAAGCTAGGGGATTGACAGTCACTGAACCCCTGCTGTTCTTTAATATTTCATCTGAACCTTCAGTAACCCTGCGATGTAGATGTCAACACCACCATCTTACAGATGAGGGCATTAAAATTCAGATAATTTAGGGAACCAGCCCAATATCATATACTTGTTAATGGAACAGCTGGTTCTTTTAACTTTGTGTTACATGTTGTATTCTGCTCTTCTCAGGATACAAAAATATTTTCTTTTATTTTACCATGAGTTTTGTGTAAGGTTCTCACCAAATGATGAGCAGATCTCTGACATAGGAAGACATTGCCCTTGCCCTCTCTATTTCTGCTCATACAGTGGAGAAGGAAATGGACACTTCAAACAAAATGCAAGAGAGTGAAGAGGCGGAGGGAGAAAAAGGAGGATGCAGCACAGACGCATTCAGCCTCTAAGTTCCAACATAAGCATTAAACACTCATTCAATATGTATATTTAGCACATAATAAGTGCAAGCCCTGAGTAGGGTGCTGGGAAGAAAAGAGGAATCAAACACTAGTCTCATCTTTCAAAATAGTAGAGGAAATTGGCATGTAACAAATAAATGCAATAACTATTGCAAAAGAACTGATGGAATTCTGTCAAAAAAACCAAGAGACAAATAAGAAAGGATTATTTCTTGCTGAAGCATCAAAGAAAAACTTCATAAAGGAGATAGACCTTGATCCGCATATTGATAGGTAAGAAGAGGCCAAGTAGCAGAAAGGGATAAGGGAGCTGTGACTGGTGTGGAGGGTACAAAGCAGGGGATAGTGAATATGGTATCCTTCTCTGCAAGACAGGAATCACATGGTAGGGAGTGACTAGATCACATGGGGCAGGGCAGTTTCACTGGAGGCAGTATAAAACAGCAGGTAAGAGGGTAAATGCTAGGGTCTACGTGATAGGCTTCTAATCCCAGTCTGCACTTCCTCCCCGTTTGGCTTTAAACCAGTTATTCAATTTCATTAAGTTTTGATTTCCTCATCTGTTAAATGGAAATGATAACAACACCTTCCTCATCTCTCTCCTGACTTCTGAAGCAACTGAGGAATAGACAGGTGTCAAATAGAAATCAACATATAGGATTTATTCTGATAAATCTGGATGGCAATATTTGGCTTGGATTTGAAGTGAAAATGGGCTTCCTAACACTTGCTCTCAAGACCGTATATGGGGCCCCACATGCGAGGAGAGCTGGAGCTGCTGAGAAGGTGCTCAGTGTGAAGGACTGAAGCCTTCTCATACCCTGTAGACCTTTGTTCCTCAGAGTATGGCCCACAGACCAGCAGCACCAGCATTACCTGAGAGTTTAATAGAAATGCAGAATCTCAGACCCTAGCAAAGACCAACTGGATCAGAGACTGCATTTGAATGAGAGTCCCCAGCTGACTCCTATGAACATTAAAGTTTGAGAAGCGTTGCCAGAGAGTGCTAGAGAAACTGGACCAGTAGATGAGAGACCCTCTCCATCTTCCCTATTTGATGCATCACTCCTTCTCCTATGGGGAGGAGCCAGTGAAAGGTGGACAAGAGGTAGATAATCCTACCTGATGCCTCTGTGAAGGTGTAAGTTCCTGCTTGGGGCTGGCAGGAATTCAGGATGAGCAAGAGGATGCTTTCTCCCGTAAGCATAGAGGCCAAGGAGGAAGACGACCCCCACGAATGTGACTCTAGTGACTGGGTGCAACATTCCGCAAGATTGTGAATGCAAGACAAGGGGAAAGTTTGAAAAGAAAGACAGATGATTTGGAATATTTATAGTCTCATTTTTTATGTTTAAATCTTAGATCCATCTAGAACTTCTTCTAAGTATCTGCTCAAATGTCATCTAAGGGGGGTGTCCCCTGAGCACCTTATAGAAACCCCTACCACTGCCACCACCACCTCCAATGCTCAGCACTCTCTGCTCTCCTGTCCCTGCCTTAGTTTATCTGTCTCCTCCCCTCCCCACTGGAATGTAACTTTCACAAAGACCTGTATCTATTTTGTTCATTATTGTTTCCCCAGTGCTTAGAACAAAGTGGCACTAGGGACATAAGGGAGGTACTTGATAAATATTTGTTAAATGAATGAATATGAGTTTGAGATCCCATGGGGGATCAGGTGGAGTTGTCAAATAATAATCTTGTTTATAATTCTGGAGCTTAGGGGAAAATCTACTTTGAGGTAAAGACTAGGAGTCATCAACTATTGGTGGGAACTGAAGCTAGGAGGCTGGCTGAGATCACTTGGAGAGAGTTCTGCATTTAACAGAAAGAGGATTTGTTTGTTTGGTTGAGGCGATGTGTGATTCCAGGAGAAAAGGCAGTGTCATCTCCAGCCAGGCCTGGCCACAGAGCAGAAGCAGATCACCAAAAATGCCAGCAAATGCTACTACCTCCTTCCATTTTCCATGGGCAAAGCTAACAACTTCTTGGAAAGTTTTATGATGTCATAAGAGGCAAAACAGCCAACAACAGCATTTATCATTCATAGAAAAACACTTTAATAATTCACTGCTTCAATTAACATTTGTCGTTAATCAAGATTTCATGTCTGAACGCATCATACCCAAGCTCAGCAGGTCAGTTTAGAATCAACTCCATCTGTCTGTCATGGAGCCCAGTGGGTTGGACACAAGGACACAAATGCCAGGCCTACTTAAAGCTGGCGGTGGGGCCACCTTCCAAAGCAGGCTGCTCCTGAGAGCTGGGCACCCCATGGAGTTAGGAAAAGCAAACTTCTGCCTCCAAAAGGGGCCTGGACTTTCCAAAAAAGGAAGAACAGAATGTTTTTCCTATGTGAGAGGAAGAGATTACTCATTAGTTAATATAAGATTATTTCACTCCATTTCTTCCCTTCCCACAAACTGAAAAGACAATCTATAATGGAGCAGGCAGAGCCCTGTTCCCATATTTGATCATTTATAATCTAGTCATTGGCTGATAACTATTTCTACCAAAAGGTAGCACTTCCCCCTTGAACAGGAAAGAAGCAAGAAAGGATGCTTTTTACCATTTATTGTCACAGGATGTGTAAAATCTTATTTTAAAAGTTGTAACTTCAATAAGCCCCCTTTACTGGGATGAAATCATATGAACAGATTACTAGATAGCATCAAATGATCAGAGATTCTGCTTTGACTTAACCGTTACTTAACCTCTCTGAGCCTCAGTTTCTCCATCTATAAAATGGAAATAATATAATACGTAACTCAGAAGATTGTTTTAAGTATTAAATGAAGCCCTGAGAAAGCACTTTGCATATTACTTGTCTCCTGGGAGACACTAAAATATTTTAACTATGTGTAACAGGTGAGAGGCACTTCATACCTTCAGGGAATAAAGGTGAGTATATTTCCTTTATTTTTCAATTATTTATTTCAGTAATTTCATTCATTCAACAAATGTTTACTGAATGACTACTATGTACTAGACATTGTTCCAGGAGCTGAGGATCCAATCAAAATCTGGGCTCCCATGGAATTTGCAGTCTAATCCTGGAAGAAACACTAAATGAATGAATTCGTAGCTAGTCACTCACCCGATTATTATTCCTCTGTTGCCACTCTTCCCCCTGACTCTCAAACTAGACCATAAGCTAGTAGCTAGTTTTGATTAGAGAGATGATAGACAGATAGGCAAGTGGATCAAAATAACTAAGAAAATATTAGGTGGTGGTAAAGGCTAACTTGAAAATATCAGAGTGATGGGAGTGGGGGCTATTTTAACTTGGGCATCCAAGAAACGGCTCTCTGATGCTGTGCTGTGGAAGCTAAGGAGTCAGAAGCGCAACGCAGGCAAAGGGAATAGCTGGTACCCATGCCCTAAGGTGGGAATGTTCCAGAAACAGAGACTCATATGGTTGGAATGCACTGGGCAAGGAAAGAATAGTTTGGGAAGAGACTGGAGAGGATGGCAGACCTTGTAGGGCCTCATAGGCCAGTGTGGGAGATTTGATTTTATTATGAGCAGGATTCTAAGCCATTGGAGTATTTTAGCAGGGGAGTGGCACGATTCATTTATATTTTTAAAAGTTAACTCTGTGCAGAGAGTGGATTCTACAGGGGTGGGAGCTGAAACAGGAGCTAGGAGGCTAGTAAGCCAAAAAAGCAATGCCAGTGGCCCAAACTAGTATTCTATATTTCAAACTAGAAGCAGAAATAAAGAAAACCAGATGGAGTCATTTAGATTTTAGAGGTAGAGTCGTTAGGGATTTATGATAGCTTGGCAATAGGGAAAGGAAAAACAGAATTCCAAGAGCAGCTGTGAGAAGTCCAGTCTCTCCCCCTTGAATCCCCCACCACGCCCAAATGCAGAAGAGCACAAACTAGGCTTGCTCACTTTGAAGAGATCCATCCTGCTTCCAAAAACACATGAAGAAGGAAAACTAGAAGCACGTTCATCCCATAACCTCCATCGTTCTCACCACTCTCTCCTAATATTTGAGCACTGGTTTCATAAGATCAGAGGGGCACTTGTCTACAGCTGCGGCAATAATCTCTGTAAATATCCTTCATATAAAGATCCTTCATGAGGTGCCATAGCAGCACCTCACCTCATCCTTGGATTCCAAGTTTATAAATTGGTCAGCTCAAAAACACATGCTTAGTCTTTTCCCCCCAAATTCCATACCCTACTGGGGTGGCAGCACCTGCTGCTTTGCCAACCTCGACCACAGACTGAAGCAGAGCCATTCAAGCCCACTCAAGGCCCCATGTTACACTCTTGGCCACAGCCCAGACTCACCATAGCGAGCTCCTGTTTAGGGCCCTTTGAATCATTTGCAGTCCTGGACCCCCTATTCGCCATGTAGATGGATCCAGGAGGTTTTTGTGTCTTCATACCTCCTTGTGCAAATCATTTCACGTCCTCCCATGAGCTCAGCACACCACGAGGACAGGACCATAGCTTTTGCTTAGCTACATGAAGAGAGAAAAATGCCCTGTTAAATCTAGTCTCTCGGCAAGGTGGGCCTACTGGTTATACATTTAAATAAATAACCATCCAAATGTTTTGCTCACAATGAGGAAAATCTTCCCAATTGCTACCTCCAACAGTAGAAATAGAAGACTGCCATAAAGCCAAATTTTCTACCTAAAAAGCTAACCACTTATATAAGCAAAACTGAACTTATATTTCTCTCCTAAAAAAACATGTGTATGTGTGTGTATAAGCTTATTCTAAAAACTACAAGTAGTAGATGAGCCAAAGCAAATTTGGAGACTGACAATCTCCCAGGAACATAATTTATCTTGGTGGCAGGTGGGGAGCATACCATTTTGAGGTGAGATGAACTGATTCTCAAATTAATTGGAGCAGGCAGCATCCATCCTGCAAAGCAAGGAAAGGGCCTCTTAGAGCTGCTGTGCTTCCTTCTGTAAAGAAGGCCAGGCTCAGAGATTGCCAAATGCTCCTTAACACAATAATGGTGAGATTTATTGTTGCAAGATGGGCAAGGCCTGGAGTCATGCTGATACAAATTATTTCTCTCTTGGCATATATCAAACTATATTGTCTTTAACAAAAATAATATTCCGCCTTGATGGGATGTGTTTATATATTCGATTAAATAGTAAAAAAATAAATAAGTAAAATCTAGTTTTCAGTTTTCTCTTTAGGAGACATTAAAGGTAAGCCTCACCCCACCACACCAGTCCCAACCTAGCCCTGAGTTGAGCAGAAGGAAATTGCAAGGATCACATAGAAGAATCTTGAGAAACTACTGGAGTTTGCAAAATGCAACGGATGAAACTCCTAATCCTAAGCTGTGAAGGGAGTTTCCTGAGTGAAGAGCGAGGGTGCAGGAATGGTACTGAATGCCTGAATGAGACAGAGTTGCAGGAGGAAAGGAGGAAGCTAACATAGGGAAAGGGAAATTAGAGTCAATGTGAGGGAATGTCTAGTGGGTCACATTAGCGCACAGGATGAATTTATGACTTTCATGGCATAAAGCAGACTGAGTTCTGAGCTTGTTCCTCCCATACTGTGCTCCTCTACTGAGATGACCTCATCCCTCCCTTCTATTATTATAGTTCTGCCTGTTTTTCTGATGGAGAATAGCGAGGTTCTGGCAGAGTGATCAGGGGAAGGCTTTGTTGTCCCTAGTCCCATCACAGGGCTCTGGCTGAGACACTGTTGAAGGCTTTTAGCCCATGTGGATTATTAAATTACAACTGGTTTTCAGCAGTGACCATCTCAACAAAAATTGTCCCCATCAAACGTGGGAGACTCAGTTGCCCCTCAAAGATGAGCAAAGCTAGGAAGGGCTCTGCCACACCCAGATTACAGTATGAGGCTGGGGCTCCACTCATGTGTGACCACTGGCAAGTCTCCTTTTTGCTCCTCTTTCTTGCTTTATGGAATATATGTGCTCTAGCAAAATCAGTTTCATAGTTAATTTATATAAAGTGGACATAAACTCCCCTTTTATTTCTGTTATCAATGCAGACATTATAAATCCATTAGAAGTATCAAAAGAAGATATTAGTAGATCAGTATAGGTTTCTATGTATCAAAAACTATTTCAAAACTGAAAGGCAAATGATAAACTGGGGGAAATATCTGCAATATCATAACAGATCAAGTGTCAATATATTTAGGACAAAAATTCAAATGACAACAATGACAGTAATTTTTCACCTATCACACTAGCAAAGATTTTATTTTATTTTATTTTCTCCTTTTTCTCCCCAAAGCCCCCCAGTACATAGTTGTATATTCTTCTTTGTGGGTCCTTCTAGTTGTGGCATGTGGGACGCTGCCTCAGCGTGGTTTGACAAGCGGTGCCATGTCTGCGCCCAGGATTCGAACCAACGAAACACTGGGCCGTCTGCAGTGGAACGCGCAAACTTAACCACTCGGCCACAGGGCCAGCCCCTAGCAGAGATTTTATAATGAGAATGCTCAGTGCTAGCAAGGGTGTGGTATAATGGTTTCTGGATAGCAATCCAGTGATAAGTTTCAAGAGCTTTAAATATGTTCACAGCCTCTGATTCATGAATTCTACTTCTGGATTAGTTCTAAGGGAACAATATAAAATGAGGTCAAAGATTTAAGCACACAGCTGTCCTTTGAACCATAATTTACAAGAATAAGCCAAATGTCCAATATTTGGAGAATGATTAGGGGAATTATGGTAAGTCCATATAGTAGGACATGATACTACTGTTAAAATGATGCTTACGGAAGTTTTTAATGATGCAGGAAAATTGTTATGAATGTTCTTTTTAAAATGAACAATGCAAGATATTACTTTGTATACATAACGTGATTTCAGCTATATAGAATATCATTGCAAAATATCTTGAAAGGAATATATTAGAATGTTATCAGTAGTTGCTTTAAAATTGTAGGATTATTTTTCTCCTTCTTTATACTATTACATTATTTACACTTTTTATGATGAGAAAATGCTTTTAAAGAAAAAAATTAGCAAAAATATAATACAGATTCACATTGAAAGGAACCAAGACTCTTTGGAGAAATGGCTGAATTCAAGTTTGGAGAGTGACTTTATAAGATGAGGCCGCAGCATTCTCTTGGTACCTGAAACCAAGGAAGTTTTCAAGGACCATTGGAAGGGTCATGTCGAAAGAACATGGAGCCAACTTGAAGAGGCTCCCATGGACCAAGCATGATACAACTTGAGCTCCAAAAGAAAACTAATAACTGCAAATCATTGAAACACATTAAATATGTTGAAACAATACTTGAGTTCATAACGTTATGAAAATAAAAACCACTGGTCACCTCTGGAGCCTGCTAGGGAACTGAATTATTATTCAGAAAACTGAGAAATAAAGAGAAATAATGAAGTAGTTATTCTGGTTTTTTTTTCTATAAACTCTACGTTGAGGCAATGTTTCTCAAAGTGTGGTCCCTGGACCAGGAGCATTACCTGAGAACTTATTCAAAATCCCAGGCCTCACTTTAGACTGAATCAAAATCAGGGACGGGCTTAGCCTGAAAGGGTTAAGAGTAGGCTCTCTCAGCATTAAAATCAAACTCTGACTCTTTTGTTTTTTGTTCTGTTATTTTTGCACCAACTACAAGGCTCTGGTATGACCTTTCCTTATCAAAGAGACATAAAAGCCCAGATTCTTGTGTGGGTTCAAGGGGAAGGGGCTAGGTGGGCATTTCAGCCTGCTTTCTATAAGGACATCCATACCGGTCAACCTGGCCTAGGGGAGAATTCTCCAGCTGCTCCAGTATACCTCAACTGGGGAGTCCATTGGAGTGTGGGGCCAAAGTCTTGGCTAGGATATTAATGCCACTCTCTTGGCCATTGTCTCAGTGTGTATAACTCCCCGCCCAAATAGCACCAAGACCATCCAATTTCACAGGTCAGTTCTTTCAAACCAGTAAGTAAATAATTCCAATTCCTTTTAAACTGTTCCAGAGCTTAGAGAAGGTTATAAAGCTGCCATAACACTGATATCAAAACTGGACAAAGATGGCACTAAATAGGATACTTCCAACTAGTACTGTGTATGAATAATGATTCAAAAACCTTACATTGGGAAAAACGAGTAAAATCCAAATGAAGTGTAGGATTTAATTAATAGTAATTTGCAAATGTTAGTTCCTCAGTTGTGAGAAGTACAGCATAGTAATGTAAGATAATCATAGGGAAAACTGAGTGAGAGGTATATGGGAACCTTCTGTAGTATCTTTGCAACTTTTCTGTAAAACTAATAAAATTAAAAGTTTATTTAAAAATTTAAAAAGCTACTTCAAAATTAATCATGCCAAACTTGCCAGTGAAACACACTGAAAGGATCCTAGGACAGTGGCTCTCACCGTAGCCATCAGACCTACTTGGATTCCTGCTTGACCATGGCCGAAACTGACAGATGTATATTCTGACATTTCCTTCCTGGATTTCTACCTACCATTGGTACCTTCTCATCCTCACATTTCAAGACAGGGGCAAAAAATTAATGTGGGTAATAGCTAATGACAGTAGGCCACTATGGAGGCATGGTGATATTTCCTGAAAGGATCACACAACTCTTGACAGCAAGTTCTAACTATTTAGTCTCAGAGCAACTGATGCCTATCAAAAGGCTTCCCCAAAGAGGTCCAAACTCTACCTTCCAGGTAGTCAGATTCATGAAACAGATGCCAGGTCCCACAAGTCTGAAAACTGGAACAGCAGAGGTCATCCTGCCTGATTCTTTAACCCAAGAAATTGCCCCCAGCCTTCTGTGACTGACCCAGATGATCAGGCAGGAACAAGCAAGAGCCTGTACCCTGCAGCCTGTACCCTGGAAGGCCTCCTACTTCAAGCAGCAGGTGCATCTTCCACTTAGACACAGAGACTCTGCTACAACATCATCCATGGACTATTTCAGGTAATACAAAATGCTAGGATGTTTTGTGGCTATAAATATGGCCTGGTGCCCTACAGTTCATTTCTACTTATGACATAAATGCTTGAGTCAAAAACAGACCCAACAGACACCTGAAAGTTTCTAGGACAAATACCAGGGCTTACAAAATTGACTCCCCCTACCATCCATAGGATTGGGGAGCGGGGGTGCAGTTTCAACAGTTTCCTCCTCCTTGATTATAGTCACCAAGACCAGTGCCTTAATCCTCTTTCATCATTGAACTCTCAGTGCCACGTAAGGATCTTGACACATAATATGTGTTTAATAAATGTTGTCAAATATATTTGTTTAATTAATTACTTAGTTTCCTAGGTTGGCTTTCCTGCACAGAAAATGCACTGAGATCAAAGTTATAATAAACTTTGTATCTTTGGACCATATAATTTCTCTTGGTAAATGAACACATTAACATACGGGTACTATCATAGTTGAGCGAACTATTCTTCCCAAAGTCTTGATCTTTTAAAATCTGATCTACAGAACCTAAAGGCCTTGTCCAGCCATGGGCTCCTCGTAGAGCAGCTTCT